CAAAGAGACCTGCCATAGTTCTCTTGACTGTGGGAAACTGATTAGTTACCCTCTCAGTATCAGTTCATAAAACACCTAAATGAATGAGTTCATCAAAACATTCAAGACTGTACCAGGCTCATTTCCCAGTAGAGTGAGTGGGGCATGGCTTAATTAAGAACCTGAGAATTTCAGGTGAAATTGTATTAAATCTGTTAGTTCTTTTGTTTACTCAGTAAAAGCAAAACTTTATGTTTAGCTTTTAGTGTGTGAAATAGGACTGTTCTAGGTATTTCATGCAATAGTTGTTTATATTATTGGCAGAGCTAAGCCTGCCTAGGCTTCCAAGAAAGGATAGCACAAAGGGGGAGATTCACTCCAGGACAAAATAAATTATATCTCCTTTGACCTCACTGGCCAGCAGCAAAAGGCTCAGTTAGCAAGTATATGGTCCCAGCCTCACTTCCACATGCTAAATCTCTCTACCCTGAGTCTAATTTGGCCTCAAAACCCAGCTCAAGGGAGTGCTGAGCATTTGGTTCTGCAGCCTCCAAGACATAGGAGAGCATATTAGAAGGAGGTGGGGGTAGGGACCGGCTGATGGCTATTAGGTCATGTCCTGGGTCACACACAGCAGTGCCAGTAATCAAGTTTCCTTTCAGTTGAGAAACGACCTTGCCTTGTATTTTTCATAGCCCTTGAACCTGGCCTGTGTCTGTAGTTGACACTCAATGAATGCTGGTTGAATTCATGCTAATCCTGTTATCACATTTATAAATACATGTCCATCCATTAGTAACATTATATTCATTTCGTAGTTCTTTTTGCTGGGATTTTTTAAAAAAAATTTTCTGCCCATTATAGTTTAGTTAAAACTAAATCATCTATAAATGCAATTAATTGGCCACATGGGAACTAAAATGCTCCAACATGATGAAAAAGTTTAATTTCAATAAATACAAATAATATAAACAAAATGTTAATGTTTTGTCCTGTACAAGAGTCCGTCATCTTCCTCACTGGGATATTTGCATCTCATTTTGGATATAATGTTCCTATTCAGTCAGTATTGTCATCTTGTCCCTGTTTTAAGGAACTCATATTTTAGGCTAGAATTGGTCTAATCTTGGTTCACAGAGTGAATATTAAGGATGATTAATTTAATTCTATTTCAAATGGTGTTCTACTTGAGGCTTGTTTGCTATTTATTAACTTTTGTTGTTTATATCACTGTTTTTGTTCTTGTAAAGAACCCAGTTTTATATGCCTATGCTTTGAGCATCATTTTTATCTGTGTATCATTTTGGTACATTCAGACAGTTGCTGCTTTTCACTGTACTGTGTTTCTAGAAACTGTATGGTAAACCAGATCATTCTGTTGTGGTTTGTATGTTTTTATATGAGAAATATTGTAATTAAGAATTATGTTTCCAACCAAGGAGTTTTCACTTGAAATTGGTTTCCAACCAAGGAGAATTTCACTTTGAAATTCTTTATTTTCAGTAAAATGAGTATAATACAATCACCCACGTAATTTTACAGTGCACGTTTACTCTAGTATACTAAAAAATGTATGTATGTGTGTGTCTTTACATCTATTGTATCATTACATTCAATGTATCTAAAAATGAAGGTTAGCTATTAAAACATTAAAATAGAAATTGAAAGTTCATATTTTTTTCCTTAGAATTTAGAAGCGGGGGCTTTCTTAGATATTATTAAACTACTTGGGAAAATTAAACAAGTGACTTTTCACCAATTTTTTGTTAGTAAATAGAGGCTCCACAAATGATTGTTTTTCCATTTGGCTTTGCCCTAATTTTGGATTATTTTTTTCAAACATTGCAGAATCAGGTTATTTTGAATTTTTACCAAAGACTTTATTTATGAATGTTTGGGAGAGGTGTCTTGTCTATTAACAAGAGATTTTCTTGTTAATTTTTTCTGTCTTCCCCATTCTCAACCCCCTTTTCCTCCCAACACCAATGTTAGGGGCACTTTAATCAAGAAAGAAGGCATTAAAGGGCATCAGAGGGCGGGCGCTAGCCGCACTTGCGTCGGGTGGTGTGGATTGTTGTGTGAGTCCTGGGATTGGCTGGCATGGGTGTTCATTTTTTATCTCTGTTGTGTCTCTCTTCGCTGTCCCTCCTCTCTCTTTCTCTCTCTCTCTCTCTCTTTCTCTCTCTCTCTCTCTCTCTCTCTCTCTCTCACTTTCAGTAGAAACTATTGAATTCTTTTTCCCTTAGCCATGACCTAATGGTGTTAGCTCTGGGCTCTTTTTTTTTTGGACAAAGAATCATTCTTAGAAAACATTATAAAATCAGATAAAAACACTGACGAAAGAAATGTAAGTATAGATTAGCCTGTATACATTGGGAAGAGAGGCAAAATTTGAGATAGAGAAGAAAGAATTGCTCATATGTCTCACGTTATTAAAAATAACTGTTACGTGCCCGTCTCCGTAAGCGGGCCGTATGGTTCTCTGGAGCAGGAGAATGCAGAACCGTCAGTCTTGCTCACCTTCGGGTCTCAGCAGATTGGAGGTGGCTCAGTGCAGTAAATGTTTATTGGACTGAATGGAAACATTCCTGTATTTTCTTCAGAAAGACTGACGAGGATTTTTTCTTTTCTAGTCTCTTAAATGCTGCAGTTGGTTCTTATCTGTTATAAGCCAGTTTCATTGAATTTGATTGCTGAAATTGAATTCAGATAAGAGAAGAATTGGTTCTAAAGTCCATTCCTGCTTTAAAAGGATGATTTTCAATTATTTTTAATGTTGCCATAATATTTTAATATCCGAGTGTTAGCATAACGTCCTTTGGTGATTATTCTTTCTCAAGCACGGATCTGGTCATGTTATTCCCGTGCTGAAAAACCTCTGACAGCCGGCGCTGGGTTTCAGCAGCCCCTCCTGACTCCTGACCTTGCTTTCCAGTGTCCGTAGCCCTCTTCACCTCCGGCTTCATGCGCAGCCGCCGATGGGCCACTCGGGGCTCTTGTTCATGCTATCCTGCCTTCCTTCAGTTTTGTGGTGGGATTGAATGAGATAATTATTATAAAGCATTTACAAAACTCCTTGCACAACTCAAGTACCCAGTAGACTTCAGTAGTAGTAGTAATTTTATTATTATTATTAGTTCCTTTTCATTTAAATCTCAGCTCATACGTCACCTCATAAGAGAGATCCTCCCCAGCCACGCTGTAGAATATAGATCCTTTCAGGTAACTGTCATCACACTTCAGCACCTAGCACTATCCATGTTGTAATTTAGCTGTTAGTGTGAATACCTCCCCATTTAGGTTATCAGCTTCTTTGGTGTTGAAGCCAGGTCTTATTAACCTTTCTGTAAACTACGTGCCCAACAGAGAGGAAATATAACCACTCTCCAAGGGTTTGTTGGGAAAAAAAATGGATACTTCTCTTGGTTACTGCTTGTTAATAAGGTTGATTTATAACATAGTGGTAAAACTTTTAAGTAAGGGTAAAAGGGTAAACCATCATCACGAGGGTTTTCTGATCTCATGTTAGAATTTTCCACATAAATAAGTGCACAGTTCTCAATTTATTGTTGTGTTTGCATGGATAAAGGAGTTACTGACTCATCTCTCCAGGCTGCGTTGAATTTAGCACACTGACCAAATGCAGACCTGTTACTAAGAAAATGAAGCTTGTTTTCGAGGCATTATTTTTGTATTTTTGCCATAATGTCAAATCATAACATTAATCAAGAGAGAAATTGTATTTAACTATTTAAGCCATAGTTCAGGAATAATGGGATCTGGAACTGAACAATCTGCTGTTAGAGCCCGAGGGAGTTGGTACATGCTTCCAGTCTCCATTAGTAGGTGCCTTAGTACAGTGTAGATGATATTTATTGTTTGTTCAGCTTGAAGCATCATCTTAGCCTCCCAAACCAAATACTATTTGGACACATGACCTTTTCATGTTAACTTTGTCACCCCAGGTTTTTGGAAACTAAGGTGCAGGAAGGGTAGCTTTTGGGTCCCAGTATAAGCCCTTATTTCTGAATTCGTCACTCCCTTCCAAAGCTTTACAATAGTGGCTTAATGTTAATGATTATAATATTATTTTATTTGTATAAAATGTTATATAAAAGCAGTGTCCTCTCATTTTTGAAGTTAAAAGTAGATCTGTATGGCTCAGTTGGTCAGGGCACATACCCAGGTTGCCCTTGGTCAGGGTGCATGTGGGAGGCAACCGATGGATGTTTCTGTCTACCCCCCACCTCTCTCTCAAATCAATTTAAAAAAAGTAGATCTTCACCCGTTCCACTCAAATTAAAAATATATATGAACCATGATGATTTAGTGCAATTTCCAAATGTATTATCGACCAACTCTGCATTAGGAAAGCTAGATTTTAAGAGTTTGAGTTATTTTCTGGATTAGATAAGTATTTCAAATAAATTTCAGTTTATTTAAAAATCTGTCCTGATTCATGTAAGCTTGAGGAAAAATCATCAACTTATAACATTATATTGATTTAGCTGGAAAACCCTTTATTGAGAGCTTTTTAAGTGGACTTTGAAATATAGTATTATTTATACTGGTGTTTCTGTTGTCAGTGCTCATTTTTTTGTTACAGATTTTTATTTTAACAAAATTTTAGGAAGTGAAATATTGCATGATTGCTATGACAATCTGACACATTTTAAAACACTGATATTTATTTGGACAAAATGCTAAGTCTTATTAAATAATTCACATTGTTGTTCTCATCAACAAGGCTTTCTATCTGTTTTATTGATGGTCACTTGGAAAATACATATTTTCCTTTCTGGATAATGAAGTATTCTGAAAAAATATTTTTATAAAAATTACTTCCGGATAATGAGATTATAAAATACACAGAAAAGGGCTCATGTTTTCTAGATTGATTGCTAGTGAAATTTAATACAGATGATTCCCATTTCAGTGACATTAGAGACTCTTGTTTGATGTATTATGCATCCATTTTTGACAAGAATAGGTTCTAAATGTTTCACCTGCTTTATTCCTAGAATTTAACACAGGAATTGGACAAGAAGGAAAAGCAGCAGCTACAGATGTTGGATCAACTGAAGGAGATCCAGACTCACTTTGAGACATGTGATGCCAAGCGTAAGCAAACTGACCTCCAGATCTCTGAGCTCACGCACCACGCTGAGGATGCAACCAAGCAGGCCGAGCAGTACCTCCTGGAGTTGCAGCAGTCAGAGGCCCTGAGACAGGAGGCAGAGAAGAGGAGAGAGGAGCTGAAACTGAAGGCTCAGGAGTCCATTAGGCAGTGGAAGCTCAAGCATAAGAAGTTAGAGCGAGCATTGGAGAAACAATCTGAAACTCTGGATCAACTGACAGACAAGAATAATCAGGTATAAAAGCCAGATTGCTAAGGAATGATTTTTGCTGTGACCAGCCATGCATTCATCTGTCCTATGAGCAAACACTTGTGTGCCGTGCTGTGCATATAAGCTAGACGTCCTTGATAGAAGAGTGTCTATGTTTTGACTCTTTCAAAGTAAAGAGTGATTTAGTGTTGTTTTTTATAAACCTTTTTAAAGCCTTTTTCATTCCATGACTTTTCAGAGTTGTCCCTTAAAATAGATCTACCCCCTGCCCCAGTTTAGTTTTTAGTTCCTTAAATTGAAATTATTCTGTTGTAGTCATGTGTAAGAAAATCATGAAATCTTTCTTAACAATTATGTGACTTTTCACCCAAGGCATGCATTTTAGAATCTCATTTATTGATATATTTCAACTTAAGTATTTGTTAGAAAGAAGCATTTAAAAATGCAGTAGTTACTAATGGGACCATTTTCTGGCACCCACTATAATGGGTTTAGTTAAATGAATAACATTGACCCGGAATGAACAGTATTATCAGATCACAAGCCTCTTTAAGACTCTGCTTTTGTGCCCTTTTGATAGCAACAAAAAGCATTTCACCGATCTATGTATGCATTTCACATCATCTTTTCTCTTGTATAATCAGTTACTTTAAATGGATTTTATGCTCCTGTGTTGATTCTCCACTATATCTTTGTGTTGAATTAAACCCAGATGTTTATAAGATAATAAGCAGGAAAGTCATGATTGATTTTTATTTGTGTTTAGTCTTGGTTTATCATTTCTGCTTTGCTATTTGTCACTTGTCAAGAACTCTGAACATTCCAGAAGAATAGTCATTTCGATAAGTTGACTTTCAAAAGAAAAAATATAGGGCAGTTACATTTATAAAATCAATTGTTAGCCCATAAGAGTGACAGGTCCTTATTTGATATGAGCTGTCACGGAGTAGATGCTTTACCTTTTATGTGTGAGTTTCTCCAGAAGTAAAGCAGCTCTAAAGCCTTCAGACTTGAATCTGAATTGATTTGATCCCAGGAAATTGCTCAACCTTGATTATTCTGTTGTTAGCTGGGTCTGGCAACTGGTTCAGTGAGCCTGCCTATAAGGGAGGTTGCTAGGGAGAAGAGTGGTTAGGGGGACTGATTGATTGAGAGCCATCTGGGGATTTTACTTAATTAGAGGAAATTTAGAAGTGTCCATGCTATCAGACGGTATCCGAATCCACGGTGCTGAGAGTTTTCTAGATTGAGCTTTTCAGAATATTAAAAATTATTAAACAATCATTTCCCAGAATACTCCTGATATAATTATTTTTATCACTTAGCATTGCTAATGATAAGCAAAGAAGTAGTTTTAAAGTGATTGCCATAGTTAGGATAGTATCACAATTATCACAGCAGGCATTGTAATTTCCACTTTAAAAGCCTTAAAATTAATGCAGCGCATTGCAGTTAGAGCAATGGTTAATCAGGGAAGAAAGGGTAACAGGTATTTCACTGTAAATGCAAGAGTCCAGGAAATCTGCCATGTGGAAATATATTGTAAATAATTTGGGGAAAAAGTGTTGTTTTTTACATCTCACTGAATAATACCTCTAATGAGTATTTGATTCTTAGTAAAATCCCAAAGCCACTGTAAGGCATTAGTAATACAGCCTACTCTTTTTTGGTTTTTAGGACTAATTATTTTCAAAAAGTGCCTCCAGGGTATATTTGGAAGTATATATTAAAATAAAAATGATACTGGTTGACAAGTAAGACACAGTATGGTTTAAAGAAAAAAATAATTGTTTAATAAGTAGCATTGTTGAGCCATTTTATATGGTCAAAAGACATTATCTTTGCATTTTAAAAATAGTTCTGTGCATACTTCCATCTGTCTTTTTCCAGAATAACTTATTTTCTGCTTTAAGATTTTCCAGTTAAAAATACATTACAGGGGCCCTGGCCACGTGGCTCAGTTGGTTGGAGCATCATCCTGTACACCAGAAGGTTAGGGTTTGATTCCCACAACCTTTCGGATTGGATCCCAGTTGGGGCGTGTACAAGAGGCAGCCAATCGATGCTTCACTCTCTCTTTCTCCCTTCTTCTCTCTCTAAACATATCCTCTGGTGAGGATTAAAAAAAAAAAAACTGTTATAAAAAAAATACATTAGAAGGCTAAAGGTTTTTACTTTTTTACAAATTGCTCTGATTTATTTACTTTTTTGCTGTTTACATTTTTGGAATCTTGGTAGATTACCAGATATATATCATATTAAAAAGCTACTTAATTACTGAAGGATCTGGAATATCAAACAAATAGCATATCATTGCAGAACCCCTTCCCCCAGAAATCAGATTATACTGTTTCCTTAAAAGACAGTGTCATGATGTATACATCAGGGAATCATGATGTTCTTTAAGGATATGTAGTTGAGTGCATATTGGAAGACCTAAAATTCTATAGATACAAATAATCTACTCATAAGTTTTAATTTTTTAATAATTTATTTTAAAATTATAGCGGACAAAAAATATTAGATTAGATTCAGGTATACAACATAAACAATGGGATATTACTCAGCCAAAAATAAGGAAGAAACTTTGTTTTTCTTTTAGAGTACTATTTGAAGTCATTGCTTTTATATATGCTTTGAAGGGTAAACAATGGATTCTACACATAGTGTATGCTTTTCTGAATGTTTCCAAATGCGTATTTCTTTTTGACATGGATAATGGGAATGCCCATCAGGGTGTGTGTGCGTTTTTTCTGAACTGGCAGAAAAGCTCGATCGCTGATGTACAGGGTAGGGCAAAAGTAGCCTTACAGTTGTGTATATGGAAGATAATACAATAATTAATAAATAGTACAAGAACAAACTCTGTGTTTCGAGTACTCACAACAGTAAGCCTACTTTTGCCCCATCCTATATTAGTATAATTTAGCAATCTGTCTGCATGGTCCCTCAGATGCCAAGAAGTGACTTACTATTTTCTAACCTCCTTGTCTGCCTTTCAGCGAATTCCGAAAACCCTGTGTATACTTCGTTGCCAGGCCGTTGGGGAGGTGGTTGCGACTCCTATGTCTGCCGTGGTTTTAGGCAGTATCATTCGTCTGGCTTCACCCAGACCTTTTCAACACTTTCATAGTCTTTCCTGAGAGCTGTTCTTCCCTAGAAGCTGGGTCTGCTTGGTTAGAACACTCTCTCCCCTCTCTCCCTGACGGCTGTTCCTGTTTCCATCTGTCTCCACATTTCGCCTTGATATTCACACCTGGCTTTCCCTCAGCCTGTTTCATTATGTGTAGTTTTTGCCATTATCTTTGGTGACCTCAAAGTTCAAGTCAGCAACGCATTGAATTCTGTATGTTCATACTTCACTAATTTCCTGTTTTACCTTCAACCCACTCAGCAGCTAAGTTCTGTGCTAAAATTGACTGTCATTTGTAATTTCTGTATGTTCAATCTTTAGTTCCAAAACTTCAGTCTCTGATCTTACACGCTTCCTTTATATCCCTTTTCTTTTGAACCATTGCCATCTGATTTCCATCTTCCCACATTCCTCTGGCTGGTCAGCCATCTCCCGCAATCACGTTTTCCTGTCACACTGCTCTGATGACGTGCTCGCTGGCATCCGCGGTTTCTTCTTGCACCTCACACATTATACTGACCTTCAGTCTATAATCAGCCCAGCTGTCCACTTTTTCCATTCCTGCACCTGAGTAGTAGTATACCAGCAAAACTTAGAAATGAAAGGTGGCTCCTGTAGTGGTTTGGTTACCCCCCACCTCCAATCCATTCCATTTCATTCCATTTAAAAATTAATGTGGACCAGTTACGAGGCACACAACCCTGTTCTGATCAATAAAGAAGGAGCTGTGAAGTCTGTTGGGGAGCTTCCAGTAAACATTTTCTCCTCAAAAAGATGTACGAGAAGAGAGCTTTTTTCCTTCTCTGGATATTGTTGGTTTTGGCTGGGATGCCTGGAATGAACGAAGCTGCCTTGCTATAGTCCTGAGAATGAAGCCTCATACAGAGGGGGTATCGCTGGGAGAAATGCAGAGAGGTGGACCTGGAGCTTGACATACTGTGTCCGCAGCAGCTCTGCCTGGGGTGATAGTAAATTACCTGCTGATTTAAGCCAGCTTGGATTGTAGTTTTCTCTTATTCTCAGTAGCTGATGTGAAACATCAATTCTAGGAGTAAGGAGCTATTAGTAAAAGAACCTAAATATAAGATTGGCTAAGTGGAGAAGTGGGGTGGCAACAGGGAGGATCATACATTTTCTAAAGGGAAAGTTGGCAAACCTTACTGTGCTATGGGAAGTAGTCGGTTAAACCATCAGAAAGCATACCATGTGGCATTGATGCTGCTCCTCAGAGTATGCAAAGTGCCCAGTAGGAAAACTTTAGGATATTAGAGTGTGTTATGTACTTATTGCAGCCTTCAGAAAGGTCCTGTAAGAGAAAGACAAGTATGGGTTGAAGCCAGTCTGTCTAAAAGCAGAGAGCAAGAAGAGTTTTTGGTGTGGGGAAACTGAAAATCTGCAATGTGTAATCCAAATTTTCTTAGTATGATAATTTGGAGTCTTTTAGGGTTGGAAAAGTCAAAGTATCTACCCATGCTGAAGTCAGTCCAAGCAAGAGAGGGAGGTAAAAAAAACAAGACAGAGATCTCAGGCCCTTTTCAAGTACTTCTACTTAAGCATTCCTGGCCACACAAAGGAGCCCCAAGTTCTTTGTTTTGAGTTCCCTCAAGATAAAGGCTGTTCCACTGAGGGCTCCTGGGAGTGTCTAGGATATTGAGGTAGTGGTTAAGATACTGACATTTTCAGACTCAGAGACAATGTCTAGACAAAATCTTGGGTTGTGGCTACTAGGCAAGTAATTCACCAAAAACAAATGGACAGAACTTACTAAGTTTTTAGTATCTATGTTGCCAAAGACATTCCAAACTTGACCAACATAGTCTGTGACTGTCGCCTTTGTCATGAGTTGATGTGATGTGAGTGGGTAAAACCTACAGAATTGCAGAACTGTAGAGTAGCAGAGCCTGCACTCTGAAGGACTCTTCCTGAGCCACCCAAGTTCTGATTTTCCTGCTATGTGGGAAAAATAAATGTCCTTGCTGTTTAAACCAACTTTAGGAAGACATGATAGTATTTTAAGTCGAAGACATTTAACCCGTTTGAGCATCATCTTGAAAATATGGTTTTTACCTTCAGGGTTGCATGGAAGTCTCTTAACTCATGGCCAGGGAGCTATGTTACTTGTTCTAAAAATTAATCACTATTTTTAAGCCTTCTCCCCGTTTTCTCTGCTGGGCATTAGTATCCTTGCAGCCAAGACTTAATTCTAGCCTGACCAGTGTGGCTCAGTGGTTGAGCATCAACCTATGATCCAGGAGATCATGCTTTGATTCCCAGTCAGGGCACATGCCTGGGTTTCGGGCTCTCTCCCCAGCAGGGGGTGTGCAGGAGGCAGCCGATCAATGACCCTTTCTCATCATTGATGTTTCTATCTCTCTCCCTCTCCCTTCCTCCCTCTGAAATCAATAGAAACTGTATTTTAAAAAAAACCAAACAGAAAATAAAACTTTAGACTTTAATTAAAAAAAAAAAAAAGACTTGATTCTAACAGTTCTTGTCTTCTCTAGGGTGGTAAGTATGGTGACCTCCCAAATATGTCTCACTCTAATTCCTGGAACCTGTGACATATCACTCCCATGATTATGTTATGTTAGATGGCACAGTTGGCCTTGAGATAAGGAGATTATCTGGATGGGCCTAATCTAATCACAGGAGCCATTAAAAGCAGATACAATTTTCTATCTGTTGGGAGAAGGGGAAGTTAGAAGGATGCAAAACTATGAGAAAGATTTATTGTGGTGTTGCTGGCGTCAGAGACAGAAGAGACCATGAGCCAAGGAGTGCAGGTGTCCTTTAGAGGTCAGAACAACCCTTGGCCCAAAGCTAGGAAGGCAACAGGGACTCAAGTTCACAGAACTAAAATTTGCCAACAACACAAATGAACTGGGAAGTGGATTCTTCCCCAAAGCCTCCAGATAGGGGCTAGGTCAGCTGACACCCTGATTTTAGCCTCAGGAGATTCCCAGCGGAATACCTTGCCTGGAATTCTGACCTATGGAAACAGTGAGGTAATAAATGGATATTGTTTTCTGCCACTAAATTTGTTGGAATTTTTTACACTGCAATAGAAGAATAATACTTCTACCCTTAGGCTTATCTGTATTTCTAGCCATTTTTCCTGCCTTACAATCTTTCCAAAGTGAAATCATTTATCTGTGTTCCATTCTTTGCAATCCTGGGACACTGATTTATCAGTTATCCCCTCTCTTCACAGTTTTGATCACACTCTTGCATTTATATCTCTCTGAAATCCTGGTTTCTCCTTAAACTTAAATCCCACCCCCACTTTTTGTTTCTCCTTTCCCAGTAGTATTCACAGCCCTATTATATAACTACTGTTATCTTTATAAAGATAAATAATTTCCTTAAGGCCGTAGAACTGCTTATTACTGGACTGAGAAGCAAATTCAGTTCTCTCTGTTCAGAGCACAGCTGCATGATCACCCACCCACCTCCTTTCATTGTTTCTAGTGTCAGCTTCCTGCTGTTTCTCCCTGTTTGAACTAAGAGGGATTTGAGGAAACTTTTTTTTTGAGCAATTGACTCATTACATTTTATCATGAACTGTTTCATACTGTTGGGTTAAATGTGAAGTGTGGAAATGCCCTGCAAGTATTGAGGCAGGAGAGTAAGAAGCCGGGAAAATTCCTTGGCAGGTGGGTAGGGAAACCGAGACAAGTAGTTAAACAGCAGTTCACAGCCATCCAGTAAATCCAGATGCCAAGCAGTTGGCAGCCATCGAGTAAATCCTATCTTCCCTAAACCAAGGACGTTTCTCCAGGTAAATAGCTTAAATCACCCTACTCAGGAGACAGATAGCGGAAGTCTAATTAGTGCCATTTGCCAGCCACACCCAAGGACAGATGAAGTTAAGGGAATGAATTTCACTTGGGACATAAGTGTAAAACTGATGAATGTTCTATTGAGGTCCTCGCCTAAGACCTCCCCTAAATGCCCAGCCTTTAAAACCCCTCAAAACTAAGGTCCTTGCTATTGCTCTCCCTCCCCTGAGCACATCCTCACCTTTCCCCTCCGCATCTCCCTCCTCTTTCCCCACAGGCTTGCATCCCCTAAACTTAAGAAACCCCACAGAGGCTTGCAACCAGGGCAGCAAGGGGCAGCAGCAGTTAGTCCAGGGCAAACCCCCTGAACTGGTACCCAAGGACCCCTTTCCTCTGACTTCCGAGCAAGCCAAAGCAGCCCAGCCTAGGCTCATTCCACCTAGTCCCTCTCCTGTTATCTGAGGCCCTTCCTTGTTTCACTGTCCCCAGCTTTAATAAACGTCCTCTAAAATTCACCTGGACTCGTGCTGTGAAATTTTTTCTGCACAAGATCAAGAACTCACACACTACCAGTGGGCCCGAGGCTGGCCCACTCAGGGCCAGGTCCCCTTTCCAGTAATAGTATTTTCATTTTTAACTCATATTTCAAATTCGAAATGAGAATCTTAACTTTTTTCTTGGTTTAAGCCCTGGTGGGCACCCGTAAGCAGGTAAGAGATTGTACCTGGTGCCGGTGTTGGGGGGTGTTTGTGGCATTTCTGCTTCCTTAGCTGCTGGCTTTTTCATTTGCATTGATGACTGGTGAGTATTAGGGGGTTAGTTCTTGGTCTCTGTCCCTCACTTGTAAACCCTAACCCCCTGAAGAGCCTGGCAGATGGTGATGGCTGTCTGGTCCCTTGACTTTTCCCTTGAGTCCCTTCCCACCTCTCCTAATCTTAAATTCATCTCATTTCTACTTTTATGGAGCTTCAAGACTTCCAGTTACATACTGTTTTGTTTCTTGTCACTGCTGACATTATTTTATTAATACTGGCTGAGTATACCATCACCTTCCTTAGATTGTGTCTCTGTGCTTCCTTGTATTATCTTCCATACCTGTTTTGAGGTTTCTCCTTTTTAAAAACATGGCATGGAAATGCAAAACATTGTTATTTTCAGTAAACTGTACATGTTATTTCAACCTCTGGCAAATTATAATAGGAGTCTTTTTCTTTCCCCATTCTTTTGATCAGTTTTATTTTAGATTTAAATAATTTTGTGTGATCAAGGATTGATGCGTTTTGGTGATGACAATCTGAAACCTATTCCAGTGTGGTGCTACTTCAGGGTAATTGTATGTTTCCTTTTCTAGGCTAAAAATATTGTTCCTTAAAAAATCAAAAATATTCAAAGACTTTTTTTTTCTCTTTGTAGATGAAATTTTATTTTGTTTTCTGGCAGTGTCTATGGTAAATTTTGTAATAATTAAAAATTTTTTTTTTATTTGTAACCTGATAGATCCTGAAAGAAAAGGGTGAATTGAAAAGCCAGCTGGGCGCAGCATTACAACAAGTAGAGAATCTTGGAAAGGAGCTGAATGATGTTGTCACCAAGCGTGCCCTTCAGGAGGAGCAGCTTCACTGTAAGGAGCAGAAACTAAGTGATGTTAGGGCGCATCAAGCTGACCTCGAGCTAGAAGTCAAGGATTCCCTGGACACCATCCATAGACTAGAAACTGAACTGCAAAAGCAGAGTAAGTTTCAAAGCCAGCTGAAAGTTGAGAAAGCTCGCCTAGAGGAAGAAATTACAGAGCTGAAGAAGAGCCAGGCCAGGGACAAAGCTCAACTCCTGGAGATGCAAGAGGCCATCAAGAACTTGAGTGCCATCCGGGCAGATCTAGCTAATAAATTGGCCGAGGAACAGAGAGCCAGGAAGGAGGCGCTTAAGAACTTTTCTGACCTCAAGACACAGGCGGACTCTAGAGATAAAGAAACAGCTACAGTCATTACACAGTTAAAACTAGAACGAGATGTTCACCAGAGGGAGCTGGAAGATCTCACATCATCACTGCAGAGTGTGAAAACCAAACACGAACAAAATATCCAGGAGCTGATGAAGCACTTCAAGAAAGAAAAGAGTGAAGCCGAGAATCATATTAGGACACTGAAGGTACCTGCGCTGAATTATCCTGATGATACTGAAGGAATTCTTCTGGTGGCTCATGAAGTTAATACAGCGTAAACTTTTAGAGATCATCCTGTATTCCCAAGCACTGGAGGGAGGCTAAAACTCACAGTAAAGAGGCTTATTCATGCCTGTTCGGCCAGGTTGAAATGAGTTATAGCAGCCACCTGGGAGCCCCTATTTCAGAGCACTGAAGCCTTTTAAAAAGAACTGTTAGCTATTTTGGGAGTTCAGGAGAGGCAGAGGTGGCAGTAAGTTGTGGGCCTGAAATGTGCCCTCATTCAACATTTACGACCTCCTAAAATATAAAAGGCAAAGACTTATCAAGGCCATAGAAGCTATAACCACAGCCCTTATTAGTTTGGTAACTAAAGTGGATCAGCTTATGGGCTGTGTAAACCCAATGCTTTTGAGATTTACCCTTTCTTTTCCAAATCCAGGTTGCCTGGGTAAATGCATAGTTGAGATCTTGCATTTGGGGAAATGTTTCCAAGTCTAATGGTATTAGCATTATCACCATGCAGGGGAATAGTTTCATAACATGATTGTCAGGAGTATGATAAATCTACCCCTTCTCTCTGCTTCATTTTCCCCCTCCATGGTGCTTACCATCATACAGACTCCATATTATTTATTTTTTAATCAATCTTTATTAGAATGAGCCCTCCATGAGGACTGGGATTCAAGTCTGTTTAGTTTACAGCTATATCCCAAGTACCTAGAAGAGTTCCTGGAACATTGTTAATATCTTGAATAAGTGAATAAATTGATAAACCTTCAAAAAGTTAATTATAATTTTTTTCCAAATTCCTTGAAATGCAACAACCATAAAAATGCTTATGATGAAAGATGAAATGATACTGACACAGTTACTTGTGGAACGCTTTCTGTTATTTTGTGAATTCTTCCCCAGTCCTATATAGCCTACTGGCAGTAGTGGACTTGGGGCCGTGCACTGGGGTGGGCAGAGTGGAATGGAGTCTGGGAGAACAGGTAAGAGGCCTTTACTATATTTCATTGAGCCAAAAATACCATTAGTTGTAAGATGCTACTAAAAAAATATATACTGCCTCTGAAAACATGACATGCTATTAACTGTAAGACAACATCCCAAGTCAGAAGTGGTAAAATGTTAAAAAGTATGTTAGTGTTGGTTAAATATGGCATAATAGTCCTTCAGAGTAGATGAGGACATGACCGAAAGTAGAATCCGATATGAAGAAGAGCTGACCCTAAAGAAACACAGGATGGATTCTATGTTGGTTGATTGGCTGTGACAATCGTAGTAGTAGAAGACAATTTTTAGCTCTTAGTTTGTCACAGTCGTTACTGTAAGAACTTTACATGTGTTAATCATTTAATGCTAACATTATCCCTGCAGCTTACATGATATTATTTTATCTCTGTTGAGTAAATTGAGACATGAGTAAGTAACTTGCCTAAGGTCTTACAGCTGGAAAGTACTTGAGTCTGGATCTGAACCCAGGTAGTCAAGTGCCTTTTTCTTAACTACACTGCTGTACTGGAAAAAGTTTATTAAAGGATGACTAGGTATAGGCTTGGATAACAAGGCTGTTTGTCATGATAGATAATATGGACATAACAGCAGATTTGGAGAGAAATGCCAAATCCAGTTGTTTGGTATGTTGAGTTAGGATGAAGGAAACTTAAGCCTAACCATAAAAGTCCAGGTAGAACAGTTTAGTGCATAATGGGTCAGATGTTGAGGAAGTTGAAATTCAAGTTAAATATTTGCAGCCAGTAACCCACTGGTGGCCGTTGAAATCACGGGACTTGAATAAGGTCAAGCAGGGAGAAAGAGGAGGGTGCAGACCCTGGGCATCAGGTTTAAGGGAAGCAGTGAGGAAGAGGCTTGGCAGATAAAAGTGCAGGACCGTGTGAGGCAGGAAGAGAACCGGAAGAGAATGGTGTCTTGGAAACCAGGCGGGACATTTTAAGAAGGGTGTAGTCAAGAGTGTCAAGTGTGGCAGACAGGCTGAAAGAAGAACTGAAAGACTGCTCATTCTGTTTGTCAGAGGTTGGCAGAGGAGGTCCGTGAAGATACAAGAGGAGGTTGGATCAGAAACAGAGTAGATACATTCAACAGGAGGCAGGGTATATGTTCCTATGAAGGTTTTGAAAGAAACCAGTAAGCCTGAGGAAGCCAAGAGAGAGCCTGGGGTTATTGATGTGAATCTTGACCAGTTGCTTTCCTCCCCTGAAGCAGAGCAGAGCAGCAGGGCAGTGAGTAATTTGTGAGTGGTGAAGACCTAAACTGCTGTGAAGGCTGGGAGAAGCTGCCTGAGGCCAGCAGGGAGAGTTTAATGTGCCCATGTGGCTAACATTGAAGAAGTATGGTGGGCAAAGCAATGAGAGTGGCGGGTTAAGAATCTACCACCATCCCTTGCTTAACCTGGTCAGGAATTCTTATGTTAGAGTTTAGATTTTCAGAGCTCATTGCCAAGGTGTGATAATGCAATTAATTGGTTGCTGTTGTGGAATGTCAGTGAAGGTGGTTGGAATACAACATGTCAGATAACTTTGATGTTAGTTTGTTGGATAGATATTTGGGTATTTATGATGCTATTGTGAAGGCATTAATCACATGCCAAAAAGGATGACTGGTCAGTCAGCTGTTAAGAGCAAGAAAAGGAGAGTTGATGAGAAATAGTGTGAATCTCAAGGAAGGCGGGGTTTTTGCTTGAGGACAAGTATGTAGTGATTTGGTAGGTTATGGCTTGAGAAATGGTTCTTTCCAGGATTGTCCTTTCCCCCAATGCTGCGTCAAGGGATTCCTCAAGGGCCAATTAATTTTCTTTCACTGAAGTTGGGATGAATCTCCCGATCCTCTGTGTTTCCATAGCTCTTTGTTGGTCCTTTTAGAATAGCAAGCATATTTAGGCTGCCTCATATTATGGTTTGCTGTGTGTTCATAAGTCTCCAGAGGGGCAGGCAGTGTGTCTTAGCCATTTTTGTGTCTCCTTACAGTGTCTAACAATGTTTGAGACATACTGAAGATATTCAGTTGATGTTGGGTCGAATATTTAAAAAGCTGGAAGTCAGAAGATTAGTTCCTGAATTGCTCTGTGGTCTTTCTGGCTTGCATTTCTCCCTGTAATGTGGGAAAATTGATTTCCTCATCTTTCCTTTAGGAAGTACTCTGTGTTCATGTAGTGAGATGACAATAAGCTTTGGAATTAACTGTATGAAAAGAATATATAATTTAGAAGTATTCTGTAGGTCTCCTGAAACTGTTAGACATTTTTTTTTTTTTTTAATTTGGAAGACTGAGATTTAGGAGGGGTTCTGCAGCTACTCTTTAACATGGTACAAAAGGAACACAAAAGCTTAAAAGAAGAACCAGAGATTGTGAGAGCCTAGCATTTTGCTTTTAAACTGAGTAAGTTACCCGTAAGGAACAACCTTCACCTCATGCTATTTCATTAATATAATCTTACATTTTTTACTTACTTATATTAATTAAAAGGAGTTGATAACAATGGACATCACAGAATATTTAATATACTGAATTATGAACAAGAGTGCTTTGGACAGTAGCTCTATAAACGTTATGTTTCGTTATCTTTCAGCTTCACCTTAATTTATTACTTTCCTGAGTCTAATAAGTTCTGATATGTTATCCATATTTTCCCACTGCACAAATTACAGTTTTTCTCCATCTAGAACTATCCTTCTCATGCTTATTTTAAAATTAAATATACAATATTTTAATGAAATACTATAGCTGCTATTAATATTTGAAAGATATTGGGCTATCGATTCATTATGATTTCAACAAAAATAATTTTGTAGAGCTCTTTATTGGAATTAAAAGACCAAGGATTGGAAGTCTATACTTTTTTCATTTGCTGGCCATATGATCTTGGTCAAGATACTTAAACTTTTTGCACTTAATCAATAAAACGAGAACAGTAATGTCTTTATCACAGGGTTTTTGTGAATGTGACATCAGTTTACAAACCATAAAATGAAATGTAAATGTAATAATAAAACCACAACAAGAAGCTAGTTCTTAGTCAAATGTAGGCATCGGTGTGCTGGTAAATGTTTTAAGATAGGCTCTCTGATGGTGGGGAGGAACCCTGATTTGTAGCATTTTCCAAGTTCAGTGGTGTAAATACCCCTGTTGGCTGATTTCAAGTTATCACACAAGACATCACAGGAGAGGGACAGAGTTGGAAAGAGATGAGCACAGTTGGTTCTTGAGGGTCTCTATGAGCCAGCTCTAGCACACCCTGGCTTTAGGGGAACCTTCTATATGGATGCTTTAAAAAAATATTTTTTTAATATGTTTTTGATGATTTCGGAGAGAGGAAGGGAGAGGAGAGGGCTGGAAACATCAGTGATGAGAGAGAGTCATTGATTGGCTGCCTCTTGCAATCCCCCTACTGGGGATTGAGCCCTCAACCTGTGCATGTGCCCTGGCCAGGAATCGAGCCATTACCTCCTGGTTCATAGGTTGATGCTCAACTGCTGAGCTATGCCGGCGGGGCTATATGGACACTTTTGATAAGACATAAAGAAATGCAGAAGCATTCTACTGCAACTTAAAGTCATAATTGACCACCTTTTTCTGATGAGAGATTTTATTTTGTAAGTTTATTTTTGGGTTATGAATACACGATTCTTCATAAAAAATGAATTCCTTTGTTAATTCTAAGTGGCATCAAGTTTTAGGTGAATTTGTGGGATGATTAAAATACAGATTTTGTATAAAACTCACAAAACTTCTTTCTTTTAGGCAATTGCTTTCAGTAATTGTGTTCCTATATACCTGATTAAAACACATAATAAACTTATAAAAAGAAAAGAAACATATATTTTAGGCACTAAAACATATAAACAGATTATATGTAGTTGCTTACAGGCTATTAACTGGTAGGTGTGGCCAGTTAACTTTGCAAGTTGCGCCCAGCTGGTTTTTAAAACCTTGTGGTGTATGTACCTGTTGAAAAGCAGTGTGGCAGAGTAGTTGAAAGCATGGATATTGGAGAGAATTCTTGGGTTCAAATCCTGGCTCTGCATTTAATCACTACTGCCCATGGGCAAGATATTGGCATCTCTGTGCTTTAATATCCAAAAAGGAGGCACTGATAGTATGTCCTGGTCAGGTTGCTGTGAGGGCGAAATGAGGAAAAACTACACCAAAGGTCTTAAAGCAAGTGCATGACATACAGTGGTTACCTTGTTATTTTAAAGTCTCTAAGTTCACATCCATGGCACATGATTATTGAGTTCCATACCTGGAATATATTATTCCTAATTTTTAAAAGCTGATTCTGGTTATATTTCAATTAAAGATGAAAAACTAGGTACATTATTACAGGGTTCATAATGAAATAATCACTGGTAAATTCTTTTTCATATTCAGTTATTTGTAGTTTTTTGGCTGCTACAATTTATGATCATTTTAGCCCCACAGGAGTGGTAGCAGTAATTACATTGTACGAAAAGCGCACAGTTCTTTCACCGAAATCAGGAGGTTCAGGTTGAATACTAATGCTGTCCAGCTCTTCTTATAAGTGAGAAAACCCGTCAGTCAGTAGTAGCTCACAGTACTTTCCTTTCGGGACACTTGTCTAATCACTCCTTCCCCTCCCAGTGGAGCTGGTGCCCTTTGGGCTGTCGCAGTACGCCACCGACACCTTTATTAAGCACCTCTCATTCATCGCTGTAGAAACTGATTGTGGCATCCGTCTCTTTCTCTGTTCTCGCCTGTCGTTATCAGCACTCAGCACAGTACCTCTCGCGTAGCAGAGCCCAGGGAGTGCTGAGCAGTAACTGGACGCATGCAAAGGGCCTTGCCCGTGTCCTGTGTGGGGACGGGCCCTGGAGACAGCCGCTGATGAGATGTGTAATCTGCTTGGTGTGCAGTTTGGCTGTGGCCAGTGGACTTTCTCTTTTCTCCTTCTCTTTCCCAGGCAGAGAGCTTAGAAGATAAGAATATGGTGAGAGCCCATCTTTGTCAGCTGGAGAAGCTGAGGTTGCAGTGTGACAGGCTCACAGAAGAATTAGCCCAGAATGAAAACGAGAACCAAAAACTGAAGCTAAAATATCAGAGTTTGAAGGACCATCTAGAAGAAAAGGTAAAAATGTGAATGAATTCTAATTTAAAAGACTTATTTGAACTTCTTCTAGAACATATTTTATGTATTGATAAATGCGCATTGCAGCCTTTCATAAGAAAGTTGTACTGGTGCCTGAAAAAAATGATAGAAGTTTATTAGAATGCTGAGATTTTTATTCTTTCAGTCAACCAGTAATCTTCTAATACATTGGATTTTGAATTTCTTCTGGATCTTAAAGCAGGAGTTTAGAGGCAAGGTAGCAGAGAAAAGAATTACAGTTTGTTGAGGACCTATTATATGTGAGGCATTCATGTCAACTGATTTTTTTAAAAATTTATCTTTATTGTTGAAAGTATTACAGATATTCCCTTATTGCCCCCCATATGTCAACTGGTTTAATATGTGTACTTAATTCTCACAACTCTTTGGCTTAGATTTTATCAATCCTCTAACCTATGAGGAAACTGAGGCTCCAAATAAAATATATAATAGCTAATTGCTCATCATATGCTATGTGTATTAGCTTTCTAGTAACTGTTAAAATCAAGTATCAATTAGTTTGTGATTTATGATTAAATGAGCTCAGTTGCTAAATTTAGGCCTACAATCTTGACAACCACTGCAATTTACTTAAGTCATGCTTTGTTTTGATTATGTCTCATGTTCACACATACTTAATGTATCTGTTGCCAGGGTGTAGTTGCTGTGGAGATAATGCAAAATTTTCCAACTTTTTCATAATTAAAATTTTAGCCAGAAGGTATATTAACAAGTTTTATACTTACTTTTTTTTTTTGCGTTTAAGAAATAGTGGTGAAAATTTTGATATGTTGAAAATGTAAAGTTTACCTTATTCTGCTTAAAATAAATGTTTCTTCACTGGCTCTGTTTGTTATGTTTCAGGCATATATGCATTATAACATATAAATGGAACGTTCCCCATAGAGTTCCAAGAGTTAATGATTGTATTCTGTTGCTGTGTATTGAGCATCTAGTATGTGGCAGGCATTTTGCTGAATGCTGAGGCTAGGATACAGATAAGATAAAGATGTGCGATTGAACACTTAGCGTGGGATCATTAAAAACAAAATCCTTTTCAGTTGTGAAAACTATATAGTTGAGTTCCAATGATAGGTGTGAGTGTAGAGAAAAGATGTCTCTGAAGTCTGTAATGCTGAATAATCTTAAAGATACACATACACACATAAATATATATAGTTTATATGCTTACTTACCTTTAATATTTACTTTTTGTATACATGATTGTTTTGTACTTATGATTTACTTAGCTGTTTGTGTTCACCCGTTACTTAGTATAGTTAGCTAGGCATCAAATATTGAGTCAAGCCGTTTATAGATAGGGCCTTTCTCTTTGAGAGGTAGTATAGCAATAGTGGCTATGGGCAGAATTGTGAGTGTAAATCATTTTCTAGCTGTGTGGCTGTAGGCAAGTTGCTTAAAAATTAACGTCTTACTTTTACCACCCATAAAACAGGAATAATAATATATCTATTATAGAATTAAAGGTGAAAATGTGTATGAAGTGCTTGGCAGAGTATCTGATATCTAGTAAGCTATCAACTATTAGCTGCGTTATTTTGTTATTGTTTCCAAATATATGCCAATTAATGGCTCAACCAAGCGATCAGCCAATCAGTAAGTATTGATTGACTGCCTTTGGTCCCTCTAATAATGTGTTAGGTAATAATGTGTTAAGAGCCAGAGAACTGGAGTCAGAATTACTGCAGAACTGTGCTTATTGGAAGGTAAGTCAGACCTTGTTGAATCACTTGAGACAGATGGTCTACAAAGGAGGTAATCATCTGAAAAGAGTTCTGTCAGCAAGTGATACTAAAGCCACATATGTTAAACCAAGCAAGTGGGCAGTTTTACATTTGCTTTTGAGGACAGGAACCAAATGTTGGTTGTTTATCTACACCTGAGACATCAGATATAGAGCCAGATACACAGTAAGTAATTTATAAGTAAATTGTGGATAAAGAGGTCTCTGTGTATATACACACATACATATAAATGTATATAAGTAGATAAGGAGATATGTCTCCATTGTATATATATCAACAGTGATACACACACACACACACGCACACACACACCCCTTGTGTGTGTGTGCGTGTGTGTGTGACTGAGAAATAAAAATAAGAACGCAAGATAAAAATACATTTTCAGTGAAAAAAGGCCATATGACTTGTAGCCCAAAGATTACTATTTAAGCAGTGCAATGTACTTGACAAGTGAGGCCTTATGGATTGAAGGGATTTGTAATGGGATGTCTCTGTAGTCAAAAGGGAAGCCTTTCTTGTTTACTTAACAAAGCCATAGTCTTGCAGGCCCATCCCTAACACAGGATGCTACTTATGCCACTAACACACACGTCCCGTTTTTTAATCTTGCTACTATTTTGACTCTGTACTTTGGTTTAGGTCTTTGTTTCTTGTTGTGCTTTTATTTGGTAAGCTAAGAAGTGTTAAAACTGCATCAGAATTCATATGCAGCATTAGTACCAGCAACCTTAATCAGTAGTAGAAGATGCTGTTCAAATATATGCACAGAATAACTAACTTTAGCATATTTTCCTCATGTATTCAGTGGTGATATGTGGTAATAAAATACATTTTTTCCAACATCTGATTTCACTTTAGCATCAAATGTTTTATTTTTCAATTTTACATGACAAAGGGAACAAGTATTATGCAACCCACAGACTTTTTACATATGCAGTTAAGACTTTATTATGAGCTTCTTAGCAGGGAAAAGCTCTTGTGAAACGATACAGATAGAATTTTATCCCATTTATAGTATCATTAAAATTTATTATACCTTTTGCTTAAAATTTTAAAGGAAAATAGTTGGTTTCTTCTTTTGTTCTAAAAGGATCGTATTAATATTAAACTTTTTATTCTTCTGGCATTTACCTCAAAACTCATAATGCTCTTTATTATATGAGAAATATATTTTTATTGGTTTTACTGGAATCTGTGAATCATTGAAAGAGTTAGTGTATAATGAAATCATTTTTGCTCAGCAAGTCATCGAGATTTACATGGTAAAGGTTTTAAATGTCTTATCTATACAGACCCACATGTGATATAATTAAAAAACTTCATTAACACAGGTATCAGCTTATTAATGATACTAGCCATCTTTCTAGAGCTTTCCAAGTGATTTTATCATATAAGTATTGAAAGATTGATTTAATTTTGAACATGTTTACATAATATTTTAGACAAAGCTGGTGCTAAAATTAAGAAAACATTATTCGGTAAAGTATTCTGTTTATACTCTCTATATTTTCTTGGTTCTTACTTTTTATAAGTATGGATGTTTTATGAAAAATATATACAGCATTTTGGGCAGATATATTTATAATTAATGAGAAACATGGTATAAAGAAAATGATAGACATGAAATTGTTTTCCTAAGTCCAATGCAAACATAATAACACATTTATTTTCAAATATTAATGAAACAATATCATTTTATTGAATGTTCATTTGTATAAATTCTGAAATGATAGGTTTAAGAAGATTTTTGTCTTTAAAATGGAACACTTAAAAATGACAAAACAGTAGAATTTCATTGTGAAAAATGCAGGATATTTTTTAGGAAGATATAGAAACTCACATGTAACATCACCGCCTAACTTTTAAAAAATTTACGCTCTGGTGAAATTCTTTTCGAGGTTCATTTCTACACACGCAGGTACACAGAGCCCACTCGGGAACATGCCCTGTGCACAGCAGTGTGCTCTGAATTTACATGTCATTGAACATTTTTCAAAATCAAGTTTATTTGCCCCCCAGTATTTTATCTGGTAAATGCTGCTGCATTTTTGTTGTTGACGACATTATTTGTGTTTTTTTCTACTTTAAAGTTATAGATCAAGTAATTTTTTTAATCCTCACCCGAAGACCTGCTTAGAGAGAGGGAGAGAGGAGAGGAGAGGAAGAGAGAGACACCCATGTGAGAGAGAAGCATCGACTGGTTGCCCCCGACGCTCCCTGACTGGGGACTGAGCCCACAGTCCAGGTGTGCGCCCGGCTGGGCATCGAACCGGCAACCCTTTGGTGCAAGGACAGCACTCAGCCAACTGAACCACTCTGGCTGGGCTTATGTAATTTTTATTCTATATGAGTCCGTACTTTCCATATTTGGAACTCTCATTTGTATTTTTACTGTTTTAATTCTAAGCAGAATTATGAGCATAAGCTCCTTGTCACTAGAGACCCAACTCTGGAGGAAGCCAGAGGCTGGATATCTGCTCTGCTCACTTCGCTTTTCTCCTTCAGTCCACCAGTAGTCACAACCATATGCATGTAGAACTTCCTCTGCTACAGGAGATGCTGTTACGTGGGCACACATACCTTGTAGTTACAGCTAGCCATGGCAGTGTAGAAAGATTATTCAGTACTTTCTGTTTCTTGTCCACCCTCTCCCCAAATCTATTTGTTAGCTTTTATTTTTAACAAGCATTGTCTCAAAGTTTATGGGGTTGCACTGAACTGTTGTACAAAGGTTTTATTTCCCAAAACATTTGTCATTGGTGTACTTCTAAAGTGTAGAAGGACTTTAAACAATTCCTACTCTCAACATCTTCGTTTATAGATGAGTTAATTTTGGCCCCAAGAGTTAATTGACTTGCCCAACTTCCTCCCACTTGTCCGTTGGTAGAAATGGAAAAAGGACTCCGGTTTACCAATTTTATTTTTTTCATTGTATCAGAGTCTATTAAGAACCATTTCTGACCAGTGTATAGATGATGAAGGTTATCTGTGATGCTTAGCTATCTCATGTAATACTTCCTTTTTTTCCATAGTTATACTTAATTCTGTTTAGAGGACCTTATTTTCTGTTATCAGTGCTTTCAGGATATGACAGTAACTACCATGAAACAATTAGGAGATACCTTAACACCATAAATTGTGACATCCAAGCTATAGCAGTTCATAAGAACTTAGGTGCTGAATTCATTAGGATTCATAGAAATGTACTTTGGT